CCCTTGAAGGTAATAGGAGAAATATCTTGGGGAGCTGAGGTATTCTAAAGAATAAATAGATGAGAGCATGAACAGTGAAAAGGAGCAGTGCAGGTCAAATAACAATGAACCACATGGATAGGACAGAGAAAACAATCTGGATCAGAATGAGAATAAGAGTGAGAAATGGAAGGAAAAAATATAGGAAGCAGCAATGGCATGCATGTCATATCTCCTACAGCCACAGACAAAAAATAAGAAATTGGATTTAAATGAAAGATGGTACAAGGAACAAGAGACTAAAGGTTCAAAGAGAGGAAGGGTAAGGGCAGGGAGAACAGCATTCAGGTCCCAATCGTGAAGAACTACAAGATGAGGAGTACAAAGGTGGCAAAAAGAAAAGGAGAGGAGAATACAAGATGATAATAGGAAAACCCAAAAGTATTAGACAGAGCTACCCTGTAACAAGCAATGGTTGAAAGCGATAAGCCTTGATCAAAAAGCCAATGAAAAATTTGGATAGAAGGACAAGAAGGGGAGAAAGCATAATGCAGAGACCAATTACAGAATCTACACCCTTTTCATGGAAAGACAAGGAAGGACGAAGAACAAACTGAACAAGAAGAAAGGATTGCTACATTGTAAAGAGTCTGGAATATCTTGCAAAAGACTGAACAAAATCTACATGTGAAATTGGAGTGACAACACTGCTAGATGAAAAAGGGTGGAGTGAATTGAAGGAGTAGGAAAAGTGAAAGAGGTAGAGGAAGAAGAAAAAGAAGAGAGGAACAGAGAAGGTGCAATAGAGGAAACCATGCCTGAGCCAGCCAGTATAGTTAGAAAGAGGACTCAACATGGAGTGTCTTGAATGAGGGAAACACACAAGGGAGATAAGTAGAAGGATAGGCAAGGAGAAAAGGGTTGAACCAGTCCTGACTGAATGCATCCACAGCTAGAGCTGAGGGAAAAGGAACATGGGACCAAAAGTAGTATGTCGAGATGAGTGACAAAACATACAGAAGGAGAGTGCCAAGATAAGATCACAGCCACTTGAACACCTGAGGATCGAAGGACCAATTTATAGGTAGTATTTTGGCAGGCCTTGAGAGATGATCTGCAACAAGATTCAGGGCACATGGAATAGAACAAGCTATTAGCCATGCATGGAAAGAATGGGCCCAAAAAAGGAGGTCAAGTGTGTCAAGTCAAGTCTGAAGAAAAGACTGCAGAGTTTAGGAGTCATAGAAATGCAATACAGCTTAGTCATATGAGGTAACGAAGGAAGGAAAACAAAGCATGTATACCTCAAAGAAGTGATAAAAGTAATTGGATATCTACTTGTATATCTGGATAGGAAATAAAAACATACCTGAAAAACCCAGTCTTGAAATCACACAAAAATGGCTGAGGTAGAATCAACACAGCATGGGTATATGATTATACAAAGGTAGGTGATGGGAAAACTGGCAAAATCCCTTCAGTTGAGAATGAGAAACATGGGTGGAGGTATGTCAAGGACAAAAAAAGGCCTAAGCCAGATGAAAGACTCCACCACTTGCTGCACAAAAGCCTTCACTTCTCCAAACATGCAAAGTCAAACCAGATGCCAATGCAGTTGCTAGACTAGTGTGAACAAAGTCGAATTGTTTCACACCTGGTAAAGTGGAAGTTATTGACACTTTGAAATAATAATGTGGAAAGAAAAGATCACAAAATCTGCAGGTGCAGAAAATGTTGGAAAGCAAAAATGCAACATTTAATATTTCCACAACAGGTAAAACCTTTGTAGATGTTTCCACTAAAAATGCCTATATCTGAAAAGTTCACAAACAAAAAAAGACACGTCAATACACATGATTGCCAAATTGAGAATAGAGGAAGACAGCTGTGCTAGAATGGTGTGTTGCACTCCTATTGATAGAGGATTATTGCATGCTCACTTGCATATTACAGTGCAGCTATACCACTTGTAAACAACGTGATGTTAGGTGGGAGCCTCAAGACTAGGGGTGAGTGAAAATTTCACCTATAGAGGGCAGCACAAATGGAGGAAAGCTATTATAAGCAGAGGTAAGGTACTGTATTGGAAACAAGTTTTGATAATCCAAGATATTTGAAAAGAAAACATTACGTAGAAGATTTAAACACGTAGAAGGATATATATATATATAACATTTAATAAATAAAATAATTAATTATTACACATTTACAGTTATATTTAAAGAAGATTACTGTTTTACTAATAGCAGTCCAAAATTTGCTAGTAGGAAAAGAAATAACTATCAGACATTTCCAAGTGCCTTCAAAAGTCGGAATAAGTCGAAAACACTGTTCTGAGTCACTTCACTGCTGTGCAAAAAAGGTTTGGCACGTTCACAACAATGACTTGAGCATACCCTTGCTGTAACTGCTGTATTAATTACAGGTATAATAGCTTTAGTATCACTTAAAAATATGTAAGCATGCACATAAATGCCACTTGTTAATAAAATAACAGATATGATAGAGATTATTACAAACCAAAACTACAAACCTTGCATTCAAAAATAAAATAAAAACTGAAAATGTAGCACTAAAAATTCAAGTCACCAACTTTATATACACAATAGTAAAAACAACAAATTTGTATTTCTGTACTGAATTTTAGCAATTTCATACAGCATACAAAAAATAACCATAAGATCTGCTAGTTTATATAACTGCCCATGACAGCTTTAGCTGTCGCTGTTTCATCATACCATATGAATAGTACCTTCCACCGTATTACTAGACCTGGTGGTGCAACACGGAAGTGTGTACAGGAGAATATAAAATGGCTAATAACACAAACGTTCAAAACCAATGTGGTGAATTTACTCAACTATGCAATGCTCATGATGATTATGACATTCACTTCTTATTAACAAATGTTTTGAGATATTATCGCTCAACATAGATCTTCAGATCTTGAAGTAAGTTGTCTTTTACACAGGTTCTCAACAGCAGTCCACATATCATTTTCAAGCAACCAGTAAATGTCTTATCACATGCAGAAAAAAAAATAGTACATGTGCAAATATGTCATAATTTAAAAAAGAAGAAGCTAAAAATATGAAAAACTAGTGCCATATCCACCTAAGTATATTTCAGCTTCATAACTTGCTTGTTCACCATTTCTTCTGAATAAGCAGGTTACTCCAAGAAAATAATAATTAATAATATATGATGTTAAATAAATAATATAGTGTAAAATAATTCTTACCATAATCATGATGTGTTGTGACATAAATAAGATAACTTAATTCAGTTCACACCATAACACCGTTGTCAAACAATTTGCTGATACATAAATGGCAACTGAGCCACTACTATCTCTGTTGTATCCTAGCCAGCCTGAAAAGTCCCGATATTAGCTGAAAGGTCTCATCGTTACTGGATATAGCAGATGTAACGTAGTTGACATGTTATTATAAATTCTTCTCTATTTTCACTTAGAAGTTTTTATTAATAATTATCAAGTAGATATTTTTCAGACTACATTACCAAATATTATAATATTGTGCTATTAATTCCTACCCTAATTATGATTTGTAAATGACTGATATAACATTGATAATAATTACAGTTCATAAACTTAATCTAGTTTGCATTATAACAATTGCTCTTCATGACATTCAATAAACTTAGATAGTGTCTAAACCACTACTGTATGTTGTATCCTAACTGGCTTGATGAGTCCTGGTATTAAGAAAGTGGCTTTGTACGCATTGAACATTGCTGACATATTGTTATATATTATTCTTTACTTTCACTTTTAAGTTATTAGAATTTCTTGGTAAAGAACTGAATTTTTTCAGGTTCCATCTATATTAATAGATGTACATATACTATTCATATGAAAATCCCCTTGAAAATAGCAGTTTAGAACAATGATTGTAAAAACCTGTCAAAAGAGTAATCACAGTGTAAATGAAAATTATATCTAAGGGAGCTTCAAATCTAATCATCTGAAACTGACAAGGCTTATGAGGTTTAGACTTTATAAAAGTTAACTATAACTTTTGTCAACTTGTGGTAATCTATATTTTGTGTATTTCCTTGACTAATATTCAAAACTGAGACCTGGAAAACAGGCTAGTGCTCTACCAGTTGAGCTAAAGAGTTAACTCACTAGCACTTGCTAGTAAGGCACTTTTTAACAACTTAAACTATCAAATTCTACCCGTCTCACAAACAAGGTCCACCCTTGGGCATTATCTCAGGATTATGGGACAGCCTCATGTTGGGTGGCAGTTTTCCTTTTGGTAATGTAATTTCAATTTTACTTCCTGAACATGGTTTCAAACCTGAGTCCACTCATACACCAGGTAAATGCTCTACAAACTTAGCTAAATTGTTAACCAACTGCCAGTTGTATTAATGTGCCTTTAACAACTCAAACTACTACAAGGTACCAATTGATGTCTATATCAGTTTGTAAGATAAAATATTTTGCTTGAAATATGATAAAAGTATAAAACAATATTTAGAAAAGTCATAATGTACAAAATTACAATATGGTACAACATCTAATTACACTTATGCTGCAATGAAATTTACTAAAACTTGCTTAAGATGCAATAATTATTAAAACAGTTTTAATTTGCTTCTCAAAATTAGTTGTTAGAAAAAGATAGACAGAGCAACATGAGTATATTTTCTGTAAAAAATTAAAAGTAATATATAAATTTATCTGTGAATTACTTACTGCAAATAAGAAACAAGTTCTTGATTTTAATGTTATAAAGAGCAGGTTTATATTCAAAAGATCTTTCAAAATACAGAAATAAAAACAAATACACCAAGATTAGAAAAAAAGTAATTAATTTATGCATCACATGTTAAAATAACAGCTTCAAAATACTGAATATTAATTAATGGCTAATCAACTTTATTACCAGTGATTTGTTAGAGCTCAACTGTGGATCCTGCCAGTTTCTATAAATTTATACACGTCTGATAAAGTTTTGTACAAGTTGCTGGTTCATACAATGTTTAGTCTTGTCACGGGAAATTCAATATTGCTTTGGGTCTTCTATGACTCCACGAGCAAGATCAGTCATTCGTGGGTACTTTATTTTCTTCTTGTCAAGTTCTTCTTGTCCCCAGAGTAGTAGTTTCAGCAGGTCAGCAAGTTTAGGTGTAGTGGAAGCTCTGTTTTCCATTTCAAGAATTGCTCCATTGATTTCACTAGCAATCTACAATAAAAAAATATAATGCCCTTCATTTAAACTGTTTTTCAATAACTACATTGGAATGTTCTTATTTATTTTACTACTTTAGTATTGAGTTTTAAAGGGGTCATTCCTAAGAGAAATTAAAAATATACTATCAAGTCCAACAGTAAATTTACAGCAGACTAACTTTAGATAATTTTGCTTGAACATATTTTTACTTTTGCATTTTGCATATATTAATCAGTAAAGATATTTGAAATTTTATACTGTCAAAATGATAAAAACCTCAACAAACCATACAGACCTTTTCTTATATAGTTTTAGTTCAATCAATGGTTTCAATATATCTAATAAAATACTGTAATTTATTTGTTTTTTACTGTATTTTTCTTATTTGCTTTGCTGCAACTGTTAAGCCCCAGTGCAAGGATAGTTGATATCCTACAACTAGTGCACATATTAACATGATGTGTGTTGCTCAACCGGACATTACATGTTAAAAACCAGTTTACTAAATTCCAGAGCTGCAACCTTGGTCTGTACTAGTTGATAGGAGACTGTTCTCCATTCCATTGAACATATGCCCTCATCTGCATTTCACAAGTTCTAGTAAACTGTGTTTTATAAATCTACAACTAGTGCACATATTAACATGATGTGTTATGATGTGTGTTGCTCAATGGGACATTACATGTTAAAAACCAGTTTACTAAATTCCAGAGCTGCAACCTTGGTCTGTACTAGTTGATAGGAGAGACTGTTCTCCATTCCATTGAACATATGCCCTCATCTGTATTTCACAAGTTCTAGTAAACTGTGTTTTATAAGTCTTGGTGATATATAGCAGAAGAGAAACTTCATCTTTTCGTTCAAAATTGATATTCTAAGTTATAGAAGTTTTGGTGCATTAAAGATTTCCATTTTCTATATAAATGTATTTGCCATGTTTCAAAGGTTCAGCTGCACTGTCACACACACACACACATACAACTTCTACTTGTCAAACAGCTGAGGTTCTACAAGTTTTGGTACTGCTCTGTCAGATATACACCTTTTTAGTATCTAACAGTCAATTTGCTGTGAGTTTTGATACACCACAGATTTGGACTTTGTGTATTTTGATGCCAAGTTTTACATTTCTAACAGCACAGTCAAATATACCAGAGCACAAATTATTCAGTATTACATCACATTTTGCAATACAAAAAATAACTACTCGAAAACCAAAGCCAGCTGCAAATATCCTATTCAAAAATCTCAGACTAAAATACAATATAATTGTTAAAACTTTAGTTTCAGTATAGAGTTATGGAACAGTGCTCTGTTTATAAGATGCTATATCATGCTTGTGCACCATCATGCATCAAGTGTTACTTCTAGAAACAAAAAACAAACAGGCTTTCCAATAGCAAGGCAAAAAAATGAACAAATACTTAACCATTTCTTTCACAGAACAATCTGAAAAAATTACAGTATCTTTCTAACAAATATTCTCAGTTGATATCTCAAGCAAACTAAGATCTTTTCACACAGAACGTGGCATTAAAAAAGATCTGAAAGGCCACATCAGTGCCACATGAAAAAGAAAGTTCATTTTAATAACAGTATACATAGTGGCAAACATCTACGTCCAGTAACTTGTAGAAATACTCTAGTCTGGTAACTGCTTGTTTAAAATCCTTGTTTAACAGTTTTTATTACTGAGTATTCAAATATGGTGATGAAAATTTAGGCATGGATGAAAAGTTACCCTTCTGTGGAGTTGCAGAAGTTCAAGGTAATAGCAGTGAAAAACTTGTTATCATGGTTATTTTTATTTGCTATCTTTCTTGTATGTTCACTAATTAAAAAATAAAATAAAAGTACTGTGGGAAAATTTTCTTCTTAACCTGTTTGAAAGCTCAAGGTTTATCTCGGTAAAATAGACAAGTACAACAAACAAGATCACATCCTAGATGGTTAATAATGATTGCTCAATTGCGTATTACAGTAACCCTCCCATTTACATCAAACCGATATAAAGTCCCTAAGAAATTAAGGAACAATATCTGAAAGACGTCTAGGCCTATGCTGCATCATGCCAACAGTAGATGCACTGCACAGGTATTTTTCCACTCCTGGGAGTCAGATCAAACCCAGCCTGCCCACATTTCCCACGGCCTCAGTTACATGTTGTCTGTCCTATCAGCCAGTATCGAGTGCGATATTCCCTGTGATTATTTTTGTGCCAAACTTTCCAAAACCCTTAAGCATGCATATTTTGTATTCATTTATTTATTTTCTATGTCTTTATGTTGCGTTAGATTAAGTTTGGGTGTCCTACAATTAGTCTCCTGGTCCTACCTTTATAGCACTAAGTCAATGGGAAAAAAGCAGCTGACTTACATCAATCCACCTAATGTTGTAATTTCTAGGAATGCATCCCCAAAGTAAATGAGAGAGTTACTGTACCTATTAAAATGCAAATGTTTTTATTTAGTCATTTAATCAGTAACCATGCTGTAAAGCAGCAAAAAAGCTTATTGTCAACTATTGTCCTTTTCAAATTAAGATGTTACTCAATTATTCTGAAACATTTGCCCAAGGTCATGTTTTTCTTATAATGAAATGGATAAACTATAGTTCCTATGTTTCAATGAAGTAATATGTATGCTTCTATATAATTTATCAAGAACCACAATAGTGTTTCATAATAGGGATCACAAGGAATTGCACAAAACCCTAATAAAACATTCGGGCAAAAAGCACCTTAAACAGTAAAGATTCAGTCCACACAACCTTTAAAACCTTTACTATTGACTGCTAAGGCTGTACACATACAAAAATACTGAAAAACTTCATGCATGTTAAACTTATAAGGAAGAGAAAATCCACTCAGAAGGGCCTATTTGTAATTCTTATTATTATTCTCTTGCCAGCCTACAACAAAAATGGCTTGGTATATTGCACCCAAACCTTTTGTAGAATACTCAATGATGTACCGCGAAGGTCATAGAGGTACTGAAAAGTTTATTTGTTTCTTCTATATTTTAAATATGCTAATAAACATCATAACTCTAGTTAAAATGATGTTATCATTACCTCTTGAAGTTTGCTTTCTTACAAATATCTGGTGTTCCTTAATAAAAGTTAAGTAAAGGGTGAAACAGGAATTATCAGCCAATAATAGATGAACATTAGATGACTGTATCATGTAGATATTCAGTGCTTTGTACACTATACAATCAGTGTCTTTAGGGAACCAACCCCTAAATTATGTATGAAGTGAAGGAGTAAAAAAAAAATCAATACACTTAGAAGTTTTTATTAATAATTATCAAGTAGATATTTTTTAGACTACATTACCAAATCAATACACACAACATTAAATTTTATTACAGATTTATAGAATAATTACTTTAAAAAACATAAAAGTTTATTTAAAGCAATGTTTTAGATGTACATGCTTTATTTGAAAAGGCTGCTTTTCTACTGCTAAAATTTTATATGTGCTTAATGGGGGCTGTGTCTTTGTCTAGGCATAAATTTGCCCATTGCGATGCATAATATATAGTTAATTTAATTACATAGACACTATAAATGCTCACTATATTCTCAAACAAATCTCCATGACAATCTCCAGTTGCAGCTTAACATTTTACATCTTGAACTAATGCGATCAAATAGTCAATAGTTACAATAAATCATCATGATCCATATCAACTAGCTACTATCTATGTTTATTATCATTACAATGTATAAAGTTAGCTACCATATCAAGTAATCCTTTGCTCATAGTTGACCATACAAAAAGCCAGCAAACAAGATAAATAAAAATTGTGAATTTAAAAACCTACAAATAGGAATTGTAAAAAAAGTAAGGAAACAAGGCTGGAGATACTGTAGACATTATTTACTCAAACTACAAATCCCTATTTTGACTTTTTCAAATGTAATTCAAGATAACAGCATGGAGCCAAAATAGGAGTTTGTAATTTGGGTAAATAATATCTAGAGTATCTCTGGCCTTGTTACCTTACTTTTTGTTTTATGATCCCTATTTGCAGGTTTATAAATTTCCAATTATTTATTTATCTTGAAGTAAATGATTATACTTTCAAATTAAATGTTGTTTTTTGTCTGTTACCACATTATTCAAATTTGATCTGTACAGTTACTGCACCAAAAGCTGAAATCATCATCTATATGGTCATTCACACACTGCTGTGTGTGAATAATCAGTGTGTACATAAAATTTTCATCAGTAAGCAAATGAAGTAAATTGCTATGCTCCATTATACATGTGCAATAACTTAAAATTATTTCCAATGTAAAAGCAGCAATTTGTTTTATAAAATTATATTTTTTTATTTCATTAGTCATCGTTTTTGCATTAGCAGTTTAGCACTATAAAAAAATCATCTTTTTTTTTGCTGAAAAATGCACACAAGATTATAAACTGACACTTACAGATTTTTCTCTAAACAAATAAGAAGTGTTACTTTGCATGGATTTAATTGTTCTAATGTATGATATTGTACCTGATGTTAATAAACTTTCAACCAAAATACTCAGCATCTACAAAACTACATTATACTGTACAATCATTTTACATCTAACTGAATGCCAGTCTCAAGACTGGTATACTACAACGTCTAAAAACTGCTAGCAGTATAAAATCTTTGTTCTTAAGTTTGATTTAGCCTATACTAGTCACTTCTACCTTTTGCCTGTGAGAAGGATGTAATAAGTCTCCAAAAGGAGATTTCTCCGGTTCATCAAATGCAAGTAAAGCTAGCGTCCTCTCTAATTCAATCAGTACCTCTTGATTCTCCTCTCCTCTCTCGGCAAGTTGTTCTTGAGCATATTTTAATGCTTCTTCCGTATTTTTTCCACGAATCAACTCTATAAGATGTTGTTGCTAAAAGCAAATAAGTCAGATTCTTATATGACACTTTTGGATCTCAAACTCTTTTTTTTTATCAGCAATATATTCATTCTGTTTAAAATTACTCCAGAACTCAAATTAAATTTACTCCTGATTAAAAGAAAAAAACAGTCATGATACTATCTGATGATGTAAGGAGTTTTACAGTAGCCTATGGAAACTTTTACTGAAACCTAAAATAAACTTGCTGATAGAAAAACAAAACAAAAGTAAATGCATCAAATACACACCATGTTATACACTGAAGAAAAAAAATTAAAAGACATAAAAAATAATAAAAATTGAAAATGAAAAAACTTCTAATTTTTGGACACCATTAGAAAAGTAACAGGAAACAAACAGTGTAGAGCTGGGTGATTAGAGAAAATTGCTAACTGATTAATCATCAGACTCATTAACAGATTAAATTCAACGTTATAATTTTCCTATACTGAAAATGTATTTGTGATAGGTACTTACCTCTACTCACATAAATAGCTATTCTCATTCAGTGCTGCCCTCTATATGTAAAACATTTTTTATGCATGCCACAAGCCTATTTTTCTCCTCCATTGGAATTGACTAATTCCAATGCACCTCTCATGCAAATCATCATGCAACAACCCTGCACTAATAAGAGTGTGACATACTCTCACTACGCATGTGACTCCCTCTATTCAATTCTACCTAACTATCACTTTGAGTTTTGGCATAAAATGGAAGCACCAGTTTTCGGTGGGGAGGAAGGGTGGGAGGAGGTAAGTACCCATCAAAAATACATTTTCAGTACAGGAAAATTATAACTTCCAATACAGTATATTACTCCTGCTTATATAAATAGCCAGAATCCCACATTGAATAGGTGGAGGGACCGGTGTGAGGGTAAGAAAGAAGCATCCTTCGAAAGCGTCCAAAGGACACTCCCTAAAATAAGATAGTCAAATTTATAGATCTGATGAGGGAGAACACACAACATCTGAACCAGGTATACTCTTCGCCTACCATAGAAAGATATTGCATATATGGGCAGAAAACAGAGGAGCAGATCCAGCTGGGAGAGAACTATGGCCAGAAAGTGATCTGAACAATGCAATATGAAACTCAATCCCAGAAACTATAAAAGTGGGTAAAATGAAAAGGATGTGCCCTAGATGTAGGGTGGCTATGGCGTGCAGGATCGTACACACAGCAAGTCAACTACATCAAAAACCCATGCCACTGGGAACCAACATCCATGCGAGGGTAGTATGAGGATCATGCCATCAGTCAGTTAACTACAATCCAAAACCCAGGACACAGGGAACCAACATCCATGTGGGGGTAGGAAAGAGGATCATACCAGTAGCAAGTCAACTACAATCCCATCTTCGTCTCAAATTCATGCGACTGGAGAAAATCTAGTACCCCCCAACTCATGAACGAGGCACGTGTGAATATGATAAATTGATAGATTGATCCAGGAACCTGACATCAGGTATCAAAAGGGTATCTGCATAATGTAAGCCATCTCCCTCAAAAGTGACATTGACTGGAATCATCCCAAGTGCATTAACATCCTTAGAATAAGAAACAGTGAGGGATAGCAGAAGGGGAAGAACTGTAACAATCCACAGTTACCTCCACTGTGACCCACAGCACTGATGGAGTATAAATGAGGGAGAAATATAGACATCTGTAATACATGTATGAAGACTTATGTTGATTGGTTCAACTCTAAATTCAAAACCCAGCCACTGGGAACTGACATCCACATGGGGGTAGGATAAGGGATCCAATCAAATGAGTGAACTGCAATTTTGATGTCTCACTCCCACTTGTTTTTATGTTTCATATTGGAGGATGTCATGTCATCTACACCAGCAGAACACAACCACTCTACTCTCAACTAAATTATTTTATAATAATTTCTATATGTTGTTTGTATTACATTAACCCATTCAGGAGGATGCCTCCACAGTCCACCACTAGCTTGGAACTGGAAAGTGGTACGGCCTCTCACACTCCACTAGAAGAAAAGGAGGGTAAAAACAAGGTGGAGAGTCCAGAGGAATGACAACAACTGAGACAGTTAGAGGCAGACCCTACCGATTTATTTAACACAAGGCATGGCAAGGATGGGCAGCTACCCCCTTCTGCTTTATCCATGGTGTGTACGGTCTGGAATGGGCCAACTCATGAAGCAATTTCAATGCAAGAAGGATAAACCTACAAGCAATCTTGTGGAAAACCCCATCTCTGCAATGTGCATTGCGTGACCATGGAATTATAATAGGCAATTCAACATGGCTTGACAATGTGGGTTTGAACAGTTAAAGAATACTCACCATAGAGCAGGATCCGGACAATGAGTAATAATAATAAAAAGGGAAATAAGGACCCTAAAAAGATAACTTACATAGTCAAAGTCTCACTGAAGTCTGAAGAATGGATACAGGCAGAAGATAATAGCCAGAAAAGGAAGAAATAGCGATCATATGCAAACAGTAAGAGACAAACGTATTAAGAGTAGTCCACATGCCCAATTGAAGAATTTCCTCCAATTGACAACGTAGATGAGATGCCAGAGAAAAGGTAAAGTGTCAAATCTGATGAGAAGACACCTGGAACAAAGTACAGGAGGAAGATGATAAAGAGGAATAAGTCGATCAAATCAAAAGCCAAACCCAATTGGTGAAGGTGGAAGGAGAAAGATCACAAACAGAGGATGGCTGCCAAGGAATAAAGAGACAGGAATGGGTAACATGGAAGTAAGCCATGCAGGCAATATAACAGCGAAAAGTACGTACAGGACATAGAAGTCTATCTGGATCAGGCCTAGGAAATGGAAGAAAGGGAAATCAGAAAAAAGGAGGAGTTATGTTCCCTAGCCATCGAATTTTTGGGGAGGAAAGAATGATCCAGATAAAGGAGAATATGTGTAGGATGCTAAAGAGTATGTAAAACATCAATGGCAAATAAATCAGACCTCCAACATCCACAGACTAAGAGGAGAAGGAAATAAGTCTTAAGGGGAAAATGGTTCAAAAGGAGGCAGAGAGAGGCAGTGAAGGACCACATTAACATCCCAGTCAGGAAGGGTAGCCTGCTGTGGTGGAGGACAAATCTGGAAGGACTGCATCAATAGGGAAAGGGTAGGAGAGGTAAACACCCTATTGTGTCGGGAAAATGAAAGGTGTGGAACAAGGCAGCCCAATAACCCAACATCAAAGAGACAGAAGACTTCAGACTGAAAAGCTAAGTAAGAAAATCTGCAATATGAGAAACAGTGGGTCGATGAGTGGAAAACCCTCGACCCAGAGAACAACACTAGAAAACGTTCCAACTATATTGATAAACTTCCATGGAGGAAGGATGAGTGGAATGAACCATAAATGAAGCTACTCACTGGGACAAGCAGATCTCGCCAAGGACCAGATAAAAAAATAGGCATGAAAATGGAGGACACGAAGAGCTGGTTGAAGCACCATTGGCTGAGGTTGACAAAGAAAGGAGGGAGACACAGAAAGAGATAATGGATGGGTAAGTTGGAGCTGGAGAAGCTGCAGAAACCATGACTGAGCCAGTCAGTAAGGAGCAATCAGAAGGAGTGGTATGGATGATCGAAATCACCCAGTGAAGAATTCGAATGGGAGGATAAACATATAGGTATTTGTTGGTCCAATCCTGGCTGAAAGCATTGATTACTATCAATTCAATACTTTTGATGAAGTTTTTAAGTACCAATCTGACAGTGAAAATATAAAAAACTAATATTTTTTCTCTGTAATCTCTGTTTCTTACATTTTCACATAACTCAAAATATAATATTTTATTTCCAAGATTCAGGATTAAAATATATATGGGCATCCTGCCTGTAGAACATAGGTGAGGAACAATGTTCTAATGAATTTATTAAAATCTTTATCAGGTCCTGATGAAGATTTATGCAAGTGTTTTGGAATGTTGTCCTTTACACATGTTTATCCAGGAAGACCGCCCATAAAATATCTATTTTACCCCACATATCCAGTTTCACCTATATAAAATCCATAACTGGAAAAATGCAAAAGTCCAAGTAAGTGACATTGAGAGTCTAACAGTTCATAATTTACATGCTATTTTTTTAGAATTATTAAGATTAGTTAGTGTAGGTTTTTATTTACTGTACAGATCAATGTTACATGAACAGGAGCCACAAGATGATAAACCTTTCCTGTATCTTAACAAAAAACAAAAACGAAGAAGAGATGAGTCCCTCCGACCTTAAAAAATTTGGTCATTAAAGGGTTGAAAAAATCAAATGTGGAGCTTTTAGCAAAGCAAACATCTACTTAAGCAACACCTAAAATAAAGAAGTAGGTAATAAGTTATTTAAATGGATGGAAGGTTGGTTGGGAAAAAGCATAAAGTTATTTTTAATGAAGTTCAGTTTAATTGGACTAATATTATGAGTAGTGTGCCATAAGGAGCTTTGTTTGACCCAATGTTATTCCCAATTCACTTTAATGGTATCAACATTAGTTAAGTTTACCAATGATATAAAAACCACAGGTTGGGTTGGTTGTAATGATTTTAAGAAGAGAAATATATAGTAGCAGATGACATATAATTATGATAAAAGTGTAAGGATATGCATAAAGGCTATCACAGTATAAATTATAAATGCAATTTAAATGGCAATCCTATAATTATGTGGATGAGGGATGAAACGACTCTTAAGCCATAAAGATAGTTTTTTATTACAAATGGTAAACTAACAGAATGTTAAATTTTAATATATTCAGGAATATTGACTACAAGTCTAAAGAGGGTTTCATTGTACAAGTCACTAGATAGTCCTCATTTTGTGAGAAGTTTTAGCCCGTTATCATATGAAACAAGAGGATATTGAGTTGTTAGAAAGGTTCAAAGGAGGATGATTCTGGGAACAAATTGATTGTCATATGACAGTGTGAGATTTGTTAACTTGTTTTCTCTTGAAACAACAAGAGTCAGATGGTCTTGATAATCTATTCAAAATTGTTAAGATTAAAGTATCACATTTTTTGTGCTGAATTCTGTCGGCAGTATTAAAGACAAAAATTTAAGATTTGGAAAGGTCAAACACATCTTCAATTGAGGCACTTTTTTTTCTTCAACATGGAGGTAAATCTATGGATCAAATTCCTATCTAGAGTGATAGGGGCTGCAACTTTAAAGAAGTTTAAGCAAAGGGTTGTGGAATACCTGGGGAATCAGGGCTAGTGAGTACTCTTCTATTTGTTGAGTGATGCTGGAAGACAGGATGTCTTTCACTATTTATCTGTTTGTTGAATTTCGCAAAGATATTCGAGGGCTATCTGTGCTAGCCATCCTTATTTTGGAAGTGAAAGACTAGAGGGAAAGCAACTAGTCAACAACCACCCACTGCCAACTCTTGATCTACTCTTTACCAATGGATAGTGGAATTGGCCATCACATTATAATGCTCTCTCAGCTGAAAGGATGACCATGTTTGATAACAGGATTTGAACCTGCAATCCACCGAATGCAAGTTGAATACCCTAACCACCAATCCAATGGCATTCATGGGTTAAAAGACTCTTTGATGCCTCATAGTTTATAATTATCTTGTTTATCATTTTTCCAAAAGGAAGCCAGTAAGAAAACCTAGGAGTTAATTTTTCATCTCTTTTTGGTTTTTCACACATATTCTAATTTTTAATTTGCTTTAAATTAATTTGTGCAAAATTGATGTTCAATTTATTTCTCAGTTACGGTTTTACTGACAAGATTCTCAAGGTTATTTCAAAATTTCATATGCACCACAGCAACTTTTTAAGTAATCTTAATTTTATTTAAAATGTAAAGTGTGAAAGGTCTGTTGTCAGTAGCTTGTGAATATTTATTGTTCAAAGTTTACAGTTTCCTCAATTTTAAGTGTTAACCTTTTGTAACCAATATATTATTAAAATGTTAATTATATATAAATGTCTAGTAATCCAAATATTCAATAATATTGGTGGACAAATACAGAAAAAACTGACCCACTTCAATATTATTATTTTTATGTATACTTAGTCAAAGCTAAGTCAAAATGTGCTAATGTACATTGTCCTTAGATGATGATGTAACTGATATAATCTAAAGTGTTCTTTTACATAGATGGCTAAATAATTCATCATATATACATTCACTGTTCTTCAAAGTGACTGGCCTACTAAGAAATATATTTAAAATGAGCAATACATATCTGGTTAGTTTCTTTATTCAATTCCTAATCTATATTTTCTTCTTTACATTCATCACAACATTATAATGTCATTGCATGATACCCTGAAATATTTATTCCTCAATATGACAGTGAAAATTTTAAAAATTTATTGCCATGCTTTTTTCCTTATGTAATCTCTATTTATTACATTTTCACATAACTCAAAATAAAAATTACATTATTTCCAGAATTTGGAATTAATATAACCAAAATTATAATAAGAGATACAAGAAAATTTTAAAGTGTATATGTTTTTAATTTTTCTGTTATATATACTTTAAAGAATACCTTATAATGTAATTATGCAAGTCCTTTTATTGTGCCACATGCATTAGTGTATGTGTATAGACACACACCCAGAAGCCAAAATATTAGAAATCCCTACCTACAGAATAGATCAGTCTCACTTTGTCTTTATTCAAAAAATGTATTTACATGCCCGAAAAATAAAACCACCAGGAGTCTATAAACACAGGTGGTAAATTGTATGAAGAGCAACTGTTACTATAATTGGACAGATGAAAGATATAGCAAGCTTTTAACATGGTGTTATTGTTTGGGCTTGATTGGCAGATGCTTAAATTGCAAGGACAGTTGAGCTGACTGGCAAATCAAAGGTCACTGCATTCCAAATCTAAACTATGTGGTTATCAGATCACAAAGCTTTGTCTAATGAGAGAGAGCTATGGAACAGGGATAAGAGGATTGTTCAGGCTAACATACATTCAACTGTGCAAGAATTGGCAGACAGCTTTAACAGTGGTCCAGGAACTTTAATTTCCATCTCAACATTGTGTAGGGAGTTATGTAAAATTAACTTTGGTGAGCATTTCCCTTACAAAAACCACTTATCTCTGCCAAAAAATTATAATAAACATTTCCAGTGGTGTCTAGATTACTATATTGGATCATTTCCCAATAGGAATACATAATGGGATCAGATGAGTCACACTTTACTTTATTCTGTAATGATGGCAGGGTTAGATTTTGTGACAACCTAATAAAGCTACTGACTATTCTGAATAGTCTTCACTGTACAATGTTTTGGAGTTGTGTAACATTGTGGGACTTACTTACATGGTATTAACTTGGTTCCCTGATTCCTTGGAATGGTCATATCTCTGTTTATGAACATTTGACCACCATAACTCACAAAGTACAATCTGTATAGCTCTACTTTTACCCAAATGAATGACAAAGCCATCAGCCAGAAAGTTAAAATCATTTGTGACTGGTTCACTGAGCATGATAAAGACTTCCAACATATATCCTGGCCTGCACAATCCCTTGACTTCAATTTTATCAAAAATCTATGGTAAGTTTTAGAATGAGTTATCCACAGATACAGTCCACAACCATCAACCCTACCTGAATTGTGAATGATATTAAGGAACGAAACAAGATTGATGCATATACCTCACAGACACTAGTGGAGTCAATATCAAATTGTATCCAGGCCATAATCAGGATACATAGTGGCTCAATATGTCATCAGGTTGAGGTTTCTAGCATTTTCGCTAGTGAGAGTATATAATGAATATTTTGTAGTTTAACTTTTCAGCAAATACACTTCAAATTTAAATTTATTTACAAAGTTTAAAATTACCTTGTTAGTGATACTGTGTCTAATATACTGTAATAACAAATACATATATTCTGCTCTTAGTGAATTACAAAGTACATCAACAGTATTTATAAAGCAATAAAAGTAGATTTATTAATTTTTTCCCCAAAATTAGTAAACTGAGAGGAAGAGTGAAAACTCATACACACTGGGCAGAGGGTTTATTTAACTAAACTACTGAGAATGGACTGGATTTGAACCTACTATTGTGCTTTCCATGGGAAAACTGAGGGATAATACCTTTCTGGTCTTAGTTTTAATTTCTTTGCAGTTTCTAAGTTCATGCTGAAAAATGATTGAAATACGTACAAAAAAATAATGCATGGAACAGTATGTAACTGTGGTGAAAATATATGCAGCAGAAAAAGACCGGCAGTTAAGAATAAAGTTCAACTAACACAAAGATGAGGTTTTGATAAAGAAAATAAACTTCTGACACTGCAGAAAATGTCAGATTATTTAAAAACTGCAATAAATGAATAAATGGTGAAGAACCTGAAACTATTAAGAAACCCTGTATACTGAAAACTTAAAAAAATACCCCTCATCCAGGATCAAGGAACATAAATACAATCTACATTTCCATGATCTGTGGAAAACAAAACCATGCACATTCCAGGATGTCTTGATCTATGGATGTGATTATTGTACAAGAGAACTCCATTACACCTGTGTAATTTTTTATAATATCATACATCAATAGATTAAGTTGAACCAAAGCTAAACTAAATTATTATGCATACAAGATGTTCTTACAAATGCCAGTCAACCAAGAATAAGTTTGCATTAACTCGAAAAATAAAAACAACTACAATTTTTGCTATTTGATAAAACTTCTCCACTAAAACTCAGGCTAATATACACCCCCCCCAAATGGAAAACTATATCAAAGTACTTATTTATTATTATTCTAGTATTACAAACCTGTAAATGGAAAAATAGATATCTGTTGTTGTCCAAAAGTTCAGGATGAAGATTATTCACCATGGCAATAGCCTCCTGAATTTTACCACTTTGTATTGCATCACGAATTTTAATTCTTTCATCTAGGGTATCCAAATCCACTACTGGGCTGATTCCAGATTCTATACGAAATTTTTCTGCTGCTTCTTTAAATCCCTCTTGAAATAAATTAGGAATAATACTTTCAATAAATATTTAGTTTTACAAAATAAACTTGCATACAGAGCAAAATAATACCTGGTATCATATGATATAATTTTAATGTAAATTTAGCCTTTAATAACACAAACAGACAATATATCATGCACATAAGAGTAAAAATAGTATTTTGATAAACATGCAATTATGATGATATGTTCACATTTCATTGTCTATCCTAAACACTCAGAACCCTGTAAGCTAAGTTCTGAAATGTAACTTAGATAATAAAGTCAAAACCACAAAGTTCCATTACAACATTTATGTTTTACAGGTTCTTCTCATTTTCTTAATCTCTTATACTAAAAGTATAGTTTTAAAATTTTGACACACATACATAACATATTCATAAACCTGACACTGACAAGTTAGATTTGTTTGATTATGGTGAAGCACAAAGCTATACAATGGGCTATTTGTGCTCTGCCCACCACGAGTATCAAAACCAGGTTCCTAGCGTTGTAAGTCCGCAGACATACAGCTGTGCTACTGGGGGGGGGTGACAAGTTAGAAATTAAAATTATAAATATAAATGTACCAGCAGCAATTTAACTTATTTGCTTTTCATTAAATATCTGCAACTTAATATAGAACTGTAGATGAGAAAGTAAAGGCCAGACTACAGTTTGAGAAACACGGTTAATAGGTAGAAACCTATTATGTCTTCTAAGTAACCAGCATGTTACTGAATTGCAGGAAAAAGTCCATTAAAAAGCAAATAAATAAATCCCTAATTTTTATTAATCAAATCATATAAATCAAAAGTAATCTGAAAAGTTAGCCTTAAAAACTAAGAAAAAAACATCATTATCCAAAGCCTCACTAAACACTCCCATCATCTTATCACATTCATGGTTTAGTAATGCTAATCTCCATTCCTCCAACCTTTACTACAACTGTACTGTAGGAAGTTTGCATGTCTTGAGTCTATTATCTGAACTATCTTCCGTGTTCTTCTTAACACCACCTCTTACATCTATCACTAGACTCTCTTTTAATGGTCAGTCTGCTTAATTTAGATTTCCACTGGATAATAATATTCACTTAAACAATTAAATTCATATTCCCACTTTATTTATGAATTTTTGACATTCAGATCCACTTACTCACTTTAACTTTAAAATGCCTGTATGTCTCCATTTGATCCATCTGTTTTACAGTTTGTTTTTATTGTATTACAAAACAACTACTGGAAAAGAAATAGATTGAAACTTGAAATAAACTTTACTCATGTTATGTCATTTAACAATATCTTATTTTGTATATGTAATATCTGTACAAATTTTCTAAAGATTTCATTGTAATATGTTTCTTATAAGAAACAATTAAAAATGCTTATCTTTGTCTATTTTAATTTCTGATTTTTATGCCTCCATAGATTTTTTTAACATTTCCCATTAAAGTTTTTACTTTATAAAACTAAATTTTAGCTTTGGTTTATATGTCAAAAACACTGCCCACAGATTCACCTTGTTTACAACCATTGGTATACACAAAAATAACTTTTCACCATATCAAAATTACCAGCAAGCCAACACTATTTTTCAAATGTTATTCAGAAGATTGTATTTAATATGTGTAATAAGTTTTAAACCCAATATATACAAGTAAAAAAAACTTTTCAAAAAAGGAAGTAAATGTAGGGATGGCTAATATCAATCCTTCAAAGATAATGCAAACAAGACAGTAGCAAAGTATCACTTGGTTCCAATTTCATCATGATTTTCTGATCAACTAGATGCCACATTGGCTTATACAATTTAAAGTAACAGAAAAAGGGCTTTCATAACATGTTTAGATCACTAGTCTATGAGTTCTCAAAGTTGAGATATAGACAATTATATCACACCATGACAACTGAGATTGAGAAACACTAATTGGATAAAAATCAATAAAATTACACTTATATTGAAGTTTCAAGGTTCAAATTAGTTATATTTTGTTCCAAACTACTATGACTTTCCTCCTAGGAAGCTTAGAGTGTAAAATTATCTGAAAATTTTTTTTTATGAAATTCACAAACACTAATGTTTCATTTAGAGCATGCTGAAACCAAACCAAAATCAGTATCTCAAATTTGTTAAAATTTTAATGTATAAAATCAATTAAACTTTTTTATTGAATAAATTTCAACTATGAAATCTTTTCTGTTTGTGGATGAAGAAATACAAATATCTTGTCAGCAATGTTTTAATTCAATGATGCAATTTTGCCCTCTGGGGAAGAGTGGACCCAACTGGGCCTCCAGAGGTTTAAATTATCTTAGAAATACAGCTCCAAGTGAATAGTACTACTATTAACACTTTTTTACTTTCAGTTTGTCTTTTGTTATTCTTTTTAAATATCCTAACCTCCCCCTCCCCTCTCTCTTGTATAAAAGGGCCCTAATCACATGTATGTTTTTACATCTCATAAACAGTGTTTTGAGGGATTTCCTTGATGACCAATTTCTACATGTACACATAGCAACAAGTATTCATATAGCACTCCACAGACTCCATATGGGAATACCCCATACAAACACTTAAAGACACAGGGACAATTTGCCAAATTATACAGTTGAACAATACTAGTTCTGTTAAATTAAAAAAAATCTTAAATACAGATTTATCCTTTATTTCAAATTTTTACAACATAGCACATATAAAAAAAAAATGGTTTTCTTCCACAATAAAAAAACATGTAAAACAATAATTAAAACTTTTTATTACAATAATACACACACTGTAACATAATTGCCAATGTATATGAAAGTTTATAATCAGTTTTCATTACCCTAGTTCATTACAAAAGTCTTTTGTAAATTTTCTTCATATATCATTTAAATGACTCGTTCAAAGTCTACTTTAGTAATTTTTGATTACAGAATATGACTTATCAAAAAATGTGTAGATACAAATAAACTGAGGATGCAACTCACCTGTTTCTAAGTAGTCCATTATTAGACGATTCATGTCGGCTCGTTGTATGTGTAGACCTTCTAACTTTTGCAACCACTCTTCTTTTGTTATGTCATCTGGTTTTTCTCCTGAGATTCAAAGGTACAATAAGATTACAACATCGGATTTTTAAAAAACATAAATAAATGCACCTTATTTGTGAATCAATACTATTCATTTTGTGAATTACATTGTGTCCAGTTTCTTTATTTCTCAGTCTCAGTTATTCAGAGATTTAGCATATTATTCTGTAATAAATATCCTTATTGAATCTCTTGTTATTGTTTGACCAGTCTTGTAGCTCTACAGTTAACTTAATTGTACCTGAACATACTGCATCAATGCAATATAACAGGGGAATTACTTGCTATGAAACAAAGAGGGCAGTTGCTTTTCCAACCTTGGTTTGAAATCATTATATGTCTATATATGCATCTAATAAAAACCCTTAGGTGTAAAAAAAAAAAGAGCAATCAAAAAAGGATTGAGCATGCGAGTTAGAGGAGGAATGAAATCAAAATTGGCGGCCAAACTGGTGGCTACATTTATAGCATTGATAGATATTTTATAGCAAATATTCATTCATTAGTTAGCTAGGTCACATGTTTTGTTTTACCCACAATCATGTCCCATGCTGAACAAAAAATGCAGCCTGGCTAATTAATGAATGAATAGTAGCTATAAAATTCTTATCAATGCTATAAGTGTAGCCACCAGTTTGGCTGCCAATTTTGATTTCATTCCTTTAAGCCACATACTCAATCCTTTTTCTCACACTCAAAGTGTTTTTATTTAGATATAGTAACTTTCAGTCAATACACTAACAAACCACAACAGGTAAGAAAGTAACACTCGATAATAACCAACATTAGCTTTAGGATCACAACCCTATTAATCGGAACAGACCTATAATTTACAGAACCAAC